TATGGGCATAGGTCGATGTGCAGGTAAATGGAACACAATACAAAATTCAAAAACAGACCTATATAGACATGATCACTTGATTTTTTTTACAAAGTTGCCAAGATAATTGTATGGGGCAAGGTATTTTCTTCAACAAATACAACTGGAGCAACTGGATATCCAGACAGAAAAAAAAAAAATGTAAATCTCTGCCTCTACCAGCAATTCATGCCATACACAAACATTAACTCAAAATGGAATATAGACCTAAATGTTAAAGCTAAAACCATAAGACTTCTGAAATAAGAAAATCTTTTTTTTAAAAGTTTAAAATTGTTTTTTATTTATTAAAAGTATTTTAATACCCTTGGTGTAGGTTAAGTCCTTCTAAAACAGGATATCAGAAGCATGACCTATAAAAAGAAAGATGCTGATAAATTAGACTTCATCAAAATTTAAAACACCTGCCCTTTGGAAGATACTATTGATGCTTAACAAAACATGCCAACACTTAGCTTCTTAAAAACACAGGATTTACTGTTTCTCACTATTCTGTGGCTTCCTTAGGAGGTTGGTCCATTGCAGGTGCTGGAGCCCCTCATTCAGCTGCATCCACCTGGGGCTGCAGCCACCTGCACCAGGGACAGCAGTGTGGACCAGGGACAGCCACCTAGGCCAGGGACAGCCACCATGGCCTCTGGTCCCCCACAGTCTGTCATACAACCTCAACAATATCAACACAACCATAGTATTTCTCCATATGAGTCATGAACAAATAGAAAGATTCCTTTATTTTACCCCTATAAATGTATAACGTATCCAAAAATTAATCTAATAAATGCAGAATACTCATGTAGAAAAATTTTAAATGCTCTTAGAACTTAAGAAAACTTAAATAAATAAATAAAAAATAACCATGTTGGTGAAAAACAATGCTTAAAATTGCAAAGTATCAGATATTCTGTATGGAACATGATTTTCGGTATTTCTAATGCTTTGACATCTGGGAGCCTTGCTGACTGACTGCCTCTTCCAGGGCTACCTGCCTGGAGCACACATTTCAAGTGCAAACAACCCTCTCCTCCATCAGGCACTTAAACTCCACACCTATGTCTCTGCCCTAATCACCTCAGGGCAGATAACAGACAATCAGGGGCAGCCCCTACACCCGCCCTTCACTGAAATTATTCAAACTAGCCAAACCTAAGCCTGTTTACCCTTCGTGGCCTGTTCCCTCTTGTGGAAATCCTATGTAATAAAAACTTAGTATGTAAATTGTCCCCTGGCAGGGAGTTCGTCCAGGAGTTTGACCAGTGGGTGGGGCTAGCAGGGGGAAGGGAGGGAGGCCCCAGCTGGCAGCCGCTATGAATCCTACCTGTGCACTGGGCCTCTAATCACAAATAAAGGATTTTGCCTACGGTTTTCCCTCGCTTTCTCTGCCCCCTGACCTCTCCTGGTTCTTCCCCTTATGGCCCCATGTCCCTAAGTGCCTCTTGTGTGTTGGGAGCTGTGAGTAAAAGTTCTCCCTTGATGATAGTCAACCCCCTTGTCTGTGTGTCTTTCCATAGCTGATTTCACCAAACTCCGGGTACCCAGCAACACATTCTTATGAAAGCCATCTACACATTTAATGCAACTTGAAACAAAACTTCCAGTAAAAACCTTTAGCGACTGGACACACTGATTCTATCATTTGGATGGATAACAAGTCCTATGAATTGCTGAGGCAGCTCTTGAAAAAAGAACTGCCAACAGAAATGCACCCTATGGTTACTAAGGCAGATTATTTCTAAGATAGAAGTGACCGCAGTGTGGGGCCAGCACAGGAATGAATAAACCAATAGAATAAAATAGAGCACCCAGAAATAGCTTTATAAATACAATACTTCTGCTCATGTACCAAGTGGAGCCACACATGGGAAAGAGACTGATAAATGGTTGTAAGAATATTGGGTCGCCATGTAGAGAAAAAAGATCTTAGAATAAAAATAACCATGAAAAGCAGAACTAAAAATAAATTAGAAAGAAATGAAGAACATCTTCCTTTTCTATAAATAAGGCTAAAATTCAACAATTACACATACCACAAATCCCCAGCCCCACAGCAACCAGAAGCCACCTGCATCCTCAGTTCATCTAGACCGTGGGAGAGTTTTTTCTCTCCGTTTACCTGCTTAAACGAGAAAAAGAGCAGGGAGCCAAAGGGACCGAGCAAGACCAGCAGCTCCTATCCTCCCAGCATCTGCTTTCCAGAATGTTCCTGGAGAACCATGTGGGATTTGCCTTAGTCGTTAAAAGACCTGTCTGGTGGTTTTTCCAAAACTGAGAAACTAAGTCCCAGAGATGAATGGAAGTCTATTACCCTCTTACAGTATAACCCCAGATCGAAGACCAACTTCTCCTAATCAAGCTTTCAGAACCCTCCGGGACTTCTAAAACATTCCATGTCAGTATTAAAATTGAAGCCTGACAGTGAACAACCAGTGTCAGCCAGCCAACCTCCCAGCCTCCACCATTCTCCCCACAACCTCACCTGCCAGCCCCCACCTGTCACTCAGCCTCCAAGACATAACTGACTTTCTCACACACAAGGAACCTTTGTCCACGGTGGGTAACCCACTTGTTAGCTGTCTCTCTGCCTCTTCCAGGGCTACCTGCCTGGAGCACACATTTCAAGTGCAAACAACCCTCTCCTCCATTATGCACTCAAACTCCACACCAATGTCTCTGCCCTAATCACCTCAGGGCAGATAATAGACAATCAGGGGCAGCCCCTATACCCACCCTTCACGGAAATTATTCAAACTAGCCAAACCTAAACCTGCTTACACTTCGTGGCCTGTTCCCAGTCCACCCTGGGTCCTCTGGACTGAGATGGGGCCATCAGGGGCCTTCAGCTGCTCCTGCACGGCCTGCTCTTTGCTGTCACCTAGAAATAGGCCTGAGAATACCCTCACTAAAGGAAAGGTCCTGGGCCTGCCTCCTGCCCCCACACCTCCTCACCTGCATTTCCATCTGCACTCCTCTCTTTTTCCCCTTCCTCCTTCACCAGGCAGCTTTCCAGAAAGAGACTCTTGGAATTCCCACTCCCTGTCCAACACATGGCTCACTGTAGGATGGTCTCCACTGCCTTCTACTACAACTGGACAACCTCTAAATTCTATTCTGGCCAGTCCTCCTGAGGGGGCACCTCCTGAATCCAATCTTCTGAGCCCTCACTTCTCCTCCCTGCTCTCTGGTGACCTTTGGCTCTGGTTGGCCTTCCAGGGTCCACCATGGCTCTGTTCATTGTGAAAGAGTGGAGCACCCCTTCTCCTCCCCCTCCCCCACCCCCCACTTCTCTCCTCTCCCTCTTCCTCCTATGCCCAGCCTCTAAAACTGCCCCATCAGCCTGCCCAGCTGGGCTCTCATGTCTGAGGTCAGAGCAATTACCAACCAAATTCCCAAAGATCAGCAGAGTGATGATGGCCACAGAGGCTGGTGCCTGCCAGTGTCCACCAGCAAGTAACACCTACAACATCCCCCAAGCCTTCATGTCTTCACAGCACAGAGTGCCTTTCACAGATGTGCCAGCCAAGGTTCAAGGAGCGCTCACTTGCCCAGATCAAGCATAATGGCTCTGAAGCTGTGTGGACCCAGCTCTGGTCTTCCCTTTCTTACTAGCGCTGCTGTGTAGGATGCCTGGAGAACCACTGGCCTCTTTTTTGGTTCCGATTCTCTCCCTCCATCAAAACACAGAAAGGGCCCAGCATGGTGATATTTCACCCAGTTAGAGGTGAGCAGTTCAGTTGGCTATTCAGAGGATCGAGTTACTCCCTGCCCCCTGCCCAGGAAGGAATGAGGCTGGGGACCCTCTCAGATCACAAAGCCACAGCGAGGTCTGACCTTCCTGCAGTCCTAGAGCAATGCAGGCAAGCTGGGCTCCTGCACCTAATGTCAGACGCCCATGTGTGAACAAAGGGGCTGGACTGTGTCCCAGCATCCTCCCTCACCCACCACCTAATGCTGGCTCCTCCATCTCCTGACTGACGGGGCCACACGGAGAGGCATGCTGAGTAAGTTAGCTGTTCTCACTACAAAAGGTTTGAGGTGAACTTTTGAAATGTATAAATTTTGAACATGGAGCTATTTCATTGTTGCCCTAGTTAATACTGTGCCATAAATTAGGGATCCCCAAATGTCTCCCCGTCACACGGTAATTCCATGAACAGAGTAATTAGGGAATGAGAATCATTTGATTCAAAACACTGGGTCCCAGGTAGCTAATGCATCCGTTGACCCCTTCCAGCCTGGTCCCACCGTCTGGGGTGGGCCCCTGGGCTGAGTGCCTCCCCTACCCCCCACCCTACTTAACCGCCCCCCCCCTCCTCCCTGGTGTCTGGATGAGCCTGCCCTAACAGCGAGGATTGGCACAGACCGAAGCAGCCAGGGAGAACTTCCTTCCCCAAAACCGCTTCCCGTCTGAGAGGGAGGAAAAGCAGGGGGAACGGGACCTGGGAGCCCTAATGGGACAGTATACTGTGGCCTCACACGGCCAGGCCAGGCTCTGCTCCTCCGGGGTTTCAGAATTTGAGCAGGTGGGGCTGCCTCTCACCCAGACTGGGGCAGGGGGGGAGCATGCCTGCTGAGCGGGTGCAGGCCCCCAACCCTGCCCCCGAGTGGGTCAGTCCAGGAACCACGGCCGCGCCCCCGGCCATGCGCTGAGCAGCGGAAGGCGCGACGTGGCGGGCCTCGCCGCACGTGGGGCCGGACCGTCCTTCTCTTCTCTCGGGACCAGGCGGCCTGCAAATCCCAGAGGCCCTGCCAGCGCTCCTCAGACCCGCGCAGCCCCACCCCGCAGCCCCGCAGCCCCACTCCGCAGCCCCGCAGCCGCACAAAGCCTCCGGATGCTGGGAGGGGGCGGGGTCTGGCTGCCTCTCGGGGACGGAGGTGGGCGGAGTCTTAGGGGAAGCCCCGCCCCTGACACGCCCCTCAGGCGCCCCCCCGCCCACGTCACGCCGCCGCCCCTCCCGCGCCTGCGCGGCCGCACACCGGCCCGCTCCTGGCGCCGCGCATCCTCGCCCCGCGCCCGCTCCGCGCTCAGCTCCACTCCGCGTCCCGCTCGCGCCCGGCCCGCCCGACTCCTCGGCTCCCCTCGCGGAGGGCGGCGTGGCCATGAGGATGCGGGGACGCGGCCCCCGGGATGCCCCCGCCTCCAGCGCGGGGGCCGGCGACGCGCGGCGGCTGGCGCCCCCTGGGCGGAACCCCTTCGTGCACGAGCTGCGCCTCAGCGCCCTGCAGAAGGCCCAGGTGGGTGCCGCCCGCGCCACTAGCCCCTTGGCCTGGGCCGCGCCGAGGAGGGACTCGGGGAGGGGGACTCGGCGCGGCCCAGCCCGGCTCCCGCCCCTCAGGCCCCCGTCGCCCCCGTCCGCCACGCCACCCTGCGGCCCGCATCCCCGACGCCCTGCCTCAATTTCAGGTCTCCTTACTTTCCCGCCGCCCGCGCCCCAAACCTGGCTCCTCCCCTTTCCCCAGCCCCTCCGCACCTCGAACCCGGCCTTATACCGTCTTTCCCTGAACCCTGCACCCCTTTTCATGTTCTCCGAACCCCTTCCCCTGATTCCCCGCACCCCTCCCCCTAGCTCGGTCCACGCAGCTCGGTCCCTGGTCCGGCTGTCCCCTCCGGCGGGGCTGGAGAGGACCCCCCTGGTGTGACTATGTCACTTGATGAGTTTCGTCGTGTGTGAATTGATCATTTGAGTCAGTGCCAGAGATATTGGGGTGCGGGCTGTGTGATGTCCCCTGAAGGTGAACAGCAGGAGAATTTGCGCTTCTCTGTTTGCAAGTTATTTTCTGTGGAGTGTGCTAGGGACGCTCCCCTGGGGGGGGGGGGCGGGGGGGAGTCGTTGTCCATAACCGGAAACAGTTGTATACAACTTCGGTTCCAGCCTGGGAGGGAACAGTGTGCCCTTTGCTTCCATCCGGTTTTATTTGTGAGGTCCTCTGGTCCCGGCTGAGGGATGGGCGGCTGCAGGAAGCACGGGGGCCTCCACACTTGTTCCTTTTGTGGGTTCTGGTCTGGTCGGAATGACTCCCTGACTATCGAGTCTCCGTGCGCTGGTAGTTATGTTTGGATTTCTGTAAGTCGCACACGAATCAGCCTTTATTCTGACTTCAAAACTATACACCGAAGCAGGCGCAGATTTTGGACTTCAGTGGCTGTCCAGTTGGTGGGGAATATATTTCCAACCGTGACAAAACTTTTGGGCGTGACATTGAGAATTTTTAAAAATAGATATATTTTATTGATTTTTTACAGAGAGGAAGAGAGAGGGATAGAAACATCGATGAGAGAGAATCATCGATCAGCTGCCTCTTGTACAACCCTTAATGGGGATGTGCTCTCAACCAACGTACAATATATGCCCTTGACCGAATCCAACCTGGGACCTTTCAGTCCGCAGGCTGACGCTCCATCCACCGAGCCAAACCGGTTTTGGCGACATTGAGAATGTTTTAATGTGTAATGTAACTCATCTGAAATAATTTTCAGGTGAAAGTTCCTGAAGTCAGTTTAAAGCTGTCATTTCTGGGACTCCTGCCTTGCCTTGAAGCCCTTTCTCCGTGGGTTCAGTTGGCATGGGTGGCAGAGGAAACCAAGCAGAGACTGAGAAGAGAATAGAGAGGGTGGTGTCCCTCCTGATGATAGGAAAGGGCAAGGTTGTCCCCAGCTGGCTCCTGGTCCCTGCCCGTGTGTGTGTCCAGAGCCAGACCTTGCTATCTTCCTCTTTCACTTGTAGTTTCACACTCACCACCTATACTAGGTGCTGTGCCCAGGGTACTAGGGTATTAGGACACAGTCATTTCCTCTGTGCTCCTGAATGCCACCTTCCCAGGTCCGGTCCTCGTCCCCCCTTTGACTCTTATGGTTTAGGACAGTGGTCGCCAACCGGTGGTCCGCAGACCACTGGTGGTCCGTGAGGTCCGAAAGGTTGGCAACAACTGGTTTAAGAGGCCTTCCTCCTCCCACTTCTCTGCTGCTTAGAATCCCCTCAGGTGCCCTGGGGACCAAGCCAGCCCTGAGCCCGTCAGGTGGTTTCCAAGGTCCCTTCTGGGCCCTCCCCACACCTTTGGCTCCAGCTGCCACAGGGCCTTCTGTCCCTGCCTCTCTGCTCCTCCCTGGAAATATCACCTCCAGGAAGAAGCTGTCTTCCCTGAGGTTCCCAGAGGGCCACCTCCATAACCCTGTCACATTTGCATACCTACCACACACACACACACACACACACACACACACACACACACCCCCGCCAGTTTCTCTTGTCCCAAACTGTATACTCACTGCTGAGATGGGTGAGGTCCTCTGCAGAGACTCAGCTAGTTGATGAATAAACAAGTGAAAGGGGAGGATGTCAGAGCAGAGTCAGAAATCCCCAGCTCCCCTCCCCAAGAATCACAAGGTTGTAAATTGGAGGTTTGGAGCAGTGCCTGTGGCTGTTCTTCCCTGAGACCGCTTTCAGGTCCTGGCTTTAGATGTTGGCAAGCAGCATCTGGATGACATTCAGAAAAAGAACAGGTGGGTGGGATGTGTTAGCCTCCAAGGAAGGGCGGGGTACCTTGTGTACACCTTGTCACAATCTTTCAGAAACCGTAGTCAGAATAATCAGGTGTATTTGTAACACAGTCATCGCTACTGCTCAGATGTCAGCAATGTGTGGATGAGGGTGTGTAACTCCTCAGTGCTCTCAAGTTCCAAGTCCTGCTCAGCACACATATTTTACTTTTCATCAAGCAGTGCTCTGTCTGCCAAGCCTTTTACCTTTATCTACTGTATTTTGGGGTAACATTTCCACAGAGTGAATTGGACTATCCAAGCAAAGAAAACCTGCCTCCCAAATCAATAAGTAAATGGATTCAGCAATGACGGAACACCGTGGGAGCTTAGGAACTCACCCAAATTCTGGTTAAGATAAACCAGTAAGGGGACCCGCATTTATCTGCTTGAATTTGCTGCCAGGGAAGAACATTGTATGTGGATTAATGACCAGTCCATCTGTCATTTAACTGCAGATTTAGCAAGGAGCTTAAGCAATTCCTTGGACAGAAAACAGCATATTAAGATCTGAAAACTGGGAATAGTATAATATGGGCTAGTCATGGTGATTCTTTGCTTCTGAAATCATGAAGTGGTTTTATATCACTTGGGTTTTAGGGTACTTTCCACTGGAGCCCACAGGTGTGTGTGTATCCTACCTCCAGGTCTGAAGTTTCCCCATTTCTGAATTCCCTAAACCAGAGTCGTGAGCACTTACTTCCTGGAAAGCTGACTGGCTTCCTGTGTACCTTGGATCTGAGTCCTGGGAGGGAAGAAGCTGGGAAACACACCCCTCCCCCTGACTAATCCTTAGAGAGGATTACCGGGAGGGTGGAGTCCAGGGAGACTCAGACCCACTAGACCTGCTGGTAGCAACCCTTTGTAGAATTCACCCAAAAGTGGGTGGTCTTTTTCTCCAAGTCCTCCATTTTGATTTAAAAAAAAAAAAAAAGTAGCAGCAGAGGCCTTGGTTGGTCCCAGCCTGGATCCCAGGTTAGGTGTGGCCATTCTGGAGTAGGGAAACCCACACACTGTTCATTCTGGGCCACTCGTGGTCTTGGTACCCTGCCCCCTGGCGTCAGTGCCCCTATCCCCATGCACACAGACCAGGCCTGGCATTTCCCTCCTGCACCACTGACCTGCCAGACTCCTGGGCCCTGCCCAGCCCTTCCCATCACACCCACCCTGTTGCCCCTTGTATCTGGGTGCTCTATGCCTGAGACATAATGAGCACCTCGGACATAATGAGTTGCCCAGAAGGCCCGGGAGGCTGAAGCTTCAAGTGGACACCAGGCCCTGGGTCTCTGGCCACCTCTGACCACCTGGAAGTTTTGATGGTGATGCTTCTGTTGACACATTTGTAGCCCAGAGGGGTCCAGGGGAATTCCCAGTGTTGTCGCACTGGTCACTCAGTGCAACCGTGGGAGGAGGGGTTCATTGGAGGGTCAGGTGCTATATACCCACATCCCAGGTGAGGAGACAGGCCCAAGTTCATTGCTGTCCCCAAGTCCAGGGCAGTGATGGCTGCTTCATGCAGACAGCTGACCTGACCTCCCACGGAGCTCCATCCAATTCTAATTGGAAGGGTCCACCATGACACTGAATTCTTGCTAACGCTGAGGGTGGGAAGGGAGATTAAAAAGGCTTGTCTTTTAGTTTTTATACTCCTCTGTCCTGAAATGTGAATTTTTAACACTTGTATATGTTTTATATGTATGTGTATATAAACACAACACATATACACAGAAGCATATTCACATGTTCACACATTACATGCATACATATTCACAGAAATATATACTGACATACTCACACATACACACAAAAGCTGTGCTGCAGGAGCTGGGCACCTTGCCCACCCTGCCAGGCCCATAAGTGTCAGGGTCCTAGGAAGGCATATCCCCGATGATCTGAGGAGAGCCCTGAACTTTCCTTTCCAGGCGAGCCTGACCAAAGCTTCTACACAGCATGTTCCAAGGAGCTCTGCCCGCCTGCCTGGAGACCTGGAGCCTTGCTGGCATCCCTGCCCCCTGTCCTCCCTGCCCCTGGGCCTACAAAGTGTCATCATCCCCAAAGCAGGCAGAGCCCCCATCGATCCTCTGGAATTCCTGTGGGTTTTGGAAGCTGGGTTAGGGCGACCTGGCCTGGCCTAAGTTAAGTTTCTAAAATTCCTAGTGTTTCTTGAACCTAGTCATAGCCTAGCTGTGAAGTGCAGTATTTTGAAAATGAGCCCAGAAGAAAGTATGTGTTTGGAAATAACATGTCTGAGGATGTGATCATAGTGTTTGTCCTTCTAGAGCCCACGTCACCCTGCAGGCCCCAGGCCATGTTTTGCAGAACTAAAACCAGTCCCTTGTTTCTGTTTTGTGTGTTTGTTTTGTTCATTAGTTTCCACATATAAGTGAAATCATATTGTACTTGTCTTTCTCTGACTGGCTTATTTCACTTAGCATAATACTCTCCTGCTCCATCCATGCTGTCACAAAAGTAAGACTTCTTTCTTATGGTCGAGTAGTATTTCATTGTGTAAATATACCACAGCTTTTTTTTGTCCACTTATAGATACAGAGAACTGACTGGCAGCTGTCAGAGGGGAGGAGTTTGGGGGTTGGGTGAAAAAGGGATTAAGTAAAAAATTCATAGACACAGACCTGTGTGGTGATTATCAGAGGGAAAGGGGGATGGGGAAAGTGGAAGAGGGTTAAGGGGGGATAAA